GAAAGAAATTCAACTCTACCCTATGACGTAAGGTTTGGGGATTTGAGGACCTCCTTATTTTGGGGGGGGTTTGGTCAAGTAAGCTGCATCAGACTTTACGCATTTTAAAAAAGGTTCTGATTTATCACAAAAGGACAGAGTTGGAAGTGGCATGGTCTTACTTCTGTCTAGCTAACTCGTATCTCCACAAAGGTCTCCTCACAGTAAAAATTATACTGCAGTTAAAAGGACTGCTTATTTTCTGCTCTTGGACACCACCACATAAAACTTCCTTTGTATCATGCAGAAATGTCTGAAAGTACCACAGATGTCTGCTGACAGTAAATGTGATGTCCCATGGAAGATCTGTACCATTGCTACGCCATCCAGTTGGACAATCTTCCCCTTGCAGACCTTACAAGGTACAAGACTTGTATTTTGGACCTGCACTTTTTGTCCCTTTGGAAATTTCTAGCTGACAGATATACCCAGGCTGCATTTCTCCTGGATTTCTCCAGAACAGGTATTTGTTGTACAAAAGCTGCAAGCTCAGAAAAGCATTTAACTTCAATCATGTGAATAATAGCCCATTGACTTTAATGTTGCCACTCATAAGCACAAAGTTAAGCTCATGTTTAAGTGTTCTGCATATCTGGGAACCTTGTATAATTTATATTTAATGTGCCACAGAGTACAATATGGGAAATAATTCATTTTTCAGTTTCATGGCCAAGCATCTATTACTGCAGAAATACAGCAGATCCTTTTTTGCAGGTTTATCAGTGAGAATTTTGCTTTGTATCAACCTGAAATATTTCATTCACCTCAGACTAACGTGTTGTTTTGTCTTCCAATTATGTCCTTCTGTCCCCTTCCTCTGTTACAGGAAAAAATCTTTTCCTTTTTTTGTTTGTTTGTTTTTAAATGTAGGTCAATTTCAGCAGTAGTGCCTTTAGAAAATGACAAGTCAAAAATACATGTCAGAAGTATACTAAAATTATCTACTTTGGCAAATATCCAATTTTCCTCTGCCTTCTTACACTCTCCCCAGACCTTTTTCAGTAAAAATATTGGCCAGTTTTAACTACAATTTTTTTTTTATAAAGGCATATCTATTGAAGAAAACAGCTCACCTATGCTACACAGAAACAGGCTTTGTCTCAACATTTCATTAACATCTTAAAAAGCAAATAAGTCAAATACATGTGAAGTTTCAGCAATCTGTATTAATTTGCAGGCATGCATAAATCCATTTCTCTCCTTTTTATGTCAATTAGAAAAATACCATTTTGATACTTTATTAGCTTCTTTGGCATTTCCAACTAATTTACAGGCATGGATACTATTTTTTTATTATTAACCTACTGTATTCTAAATTATTTTATTCAAATGCCCTGCTGGCTGTCCACATTTGCTTTTATTCTATTACTACTGTATATGAATGGAAATTACGTATAGCTATTAGATTATTTCACACATTAGTTCATTTTATATAATCTTTCCTGTATTTATTGCCTTCGTTAGACTGAAATACCGCAGGCGCTTGTTTCTCTAATGTGTCTGAAGCTCTCCCGCTATTGGAAATTGGGTTATATCTCCTGATTACAGTCAGATGAAATCCAGACCCGGTAGCCGACTGCAGCATTCTGCGGCAGGCCATCTTACCAGCAGGGCTTTTGCAGGGGGTAGGGGCCGTAACAGCCCCCTACATGGACCCCAGACGGATGCAGCCGAGCAGCATGTGCAAGGATGCTTCATCTGGGCTTGCCAGCGATGCTGCTGAGGGGCAGAGCTCCAGTCGGGAAGCTGACCTGGCCAGTGCGGCTCTACCCCTGCCAGGTACCACATCCAGCCTCTACTCTGCACAAGGTGGAGCGGTGGAGGCGGAGGGTGCTGGTTTGGCATCTGGGCAGTGCACGCCATGAGTGCCGGGAGCTGGAAGGGAGATGCTGTCAGAGCAGCTCTTTGCCTACAGGATTCACAGAGCCAGCACTGCTTTCAGGGAGGAACGGGTTTCTCCTCCCCCAAACTGCCTGTGGTTACACCAGCATTAAAAATCGCAGCTTGACGTATGATTTAGCAGTTGAAAGGGTTAACATGGGAGAAATATCAAGCAGCATGAGGTGGGTTCCTGAGCCTGCTCTGGCACCAGTTTTGGGCCAGCTGAGCATGAAGGGGTGGCACTTAGCAGAGTGAGCATCATCTGGGCCAGGGAGAGAGCAGCAGAGGTCACTAAGCTCAGTACAAGGAGCCTCCAGCTACCCTAATTCCAACTTAATACCCTGGCACAGAGGTATCTGCTCCAGCCCAACTCAGATAGGCCTGCTCCAGCATCCACACAGCACAGCAGGGACATGACGTTAGTCACTGTCTTACATGGCATTAGGAAGTAAATGCTGGGGCACAGCCAAGATACCATCCAAGTCCTTAGACAGCTGGAGCGTTTCAGCCCGCTTTTCTGGGGAAACGGCAGGTTGGCAGCCGTAGGCACCTCTCAGAGCTGCTCTTCCCAGGCAAGGCTCAAGGAAGAGGGTCCAAGGAGACCATCAGAGTGGCTGTCGCAGGGTGTAGCTAGTCTGACCTTGACAAGCATTCCCCAGCCAGGCATAGTAATGGATTTTGTGAGTGCATCTGGCATTTTGGCTGCTGTACAGTGCCAGCAGGACACCTTTCCCAGGTCTTGTCATGCTACAAAAGATATTTGCAAACAGATCTGAGTCTAGGCAAATAGGAACAATATCCCTTAAAATAACTAGCCCTTTGCCTGTTGGCTTGGATTACATCCTCTGCTGACTCCTTGTGCTGGACACAGCTGCCCTACCATCTGAAGCAGCGTGCCAGGAGGTTGATCTACTTCACTTCTGCTGTGGATACCATCTCACGTATTGGAGTTAAGAGAGACTCGAAGATGTACTCATTCCTTTTGGCCATCTGACATTGGTCAGTGATTGCCTCCTTAGAAAATCTGAAATGGCTAATTTAAGGAGGCAGGAAAAGGAAGGAAGAGCACGGCACACTTCCATCTCCCCTGCACTTGGCTGGAATAAAGAAAAGAGGAGATTCAGAAGACTGAATTCCTCCCAGACCAGGGCATCTTGAAGCAGCACAACAGATGCCTGGATGGCTGCTCTCAAATTCTACAGGGTCCTCTGCATGTCCAGAGAATGGAAATCCATATCCCAGTAGATCAAGCTCATTCACTCACATCTTTTGGATGGAAATATTCCCACCTGTCTTTATTCTCCAGAGGCAGCAGTTGGCCTTCAGCTTTTACTAGCCAATTTTCATCTGATTCCAGATGCTCTGGTAGATCATAATTTTATCCAAATGTTGCACTTGCACTAGCAGCTGTCTTTGAGGCATACTGCAACAATCAGACTATGTACTGTGGCCTTTCTCTTCCCCAAGGAACAAAACACCTATGCTTTAGGATAGCAAAAGCAAACATAGGTATGTTGGCAAAGAAAGGTAAAAGAAAATTACCTCAATCCAATACACACAGGCGGCTCTACAGTGAAAATGACTAAAATACACCCAGAGATCTGTATGCAAAGGCTCTGTGAAGCTCTAGAAGCCACTGCTGTAAAATGATATTTCATGCACATATCTCTGCAGGTATGAAGAATATCTTGAAAAACATGAGAATGAAAGCATGGCTCCCTCCACGAGCCTAGGCACAGCCTGAAACAATAGATCACAGGTATGAACTATCCCATTTACCTCAGATGGTTGAAAACCTAATGATGACAAACTAATGTTAATACTGATAGGGCTGGCTGGTTTTGAACAGTGCCTTTCAGTCTGAGAGCACCCACCGCTTCTAAGGAGTCTCTGCAACAACCTCCACCAGGCAGAAAAGCATCCTCCACGTAAGCCCTTCCCCAGCACAGCACACTGCAAATGTGGAGACAGTGTGAAACAAATTGAGGTTGAAATTAATACAAATAACAGGAGCACTTCTGCATGGATTGTATTATTCTGTGTCATATTTCATTCCAGGAATAAAAACAAAAGGGGGAAAAAAACCTCTTAAAAACTAATCCACCACAGAATTTCCTGCCTCCTGAACAGGACACTGTATACACAGGGGGCCTGGTCACAATTTATTTCTAGACTACCCTGGAGGACACAAGAGACAGTGACTATAACCAGTCTAGCAATAGCAAAATGACACTTGCAGTCCTCTTCTTGCTGCTATCCCAAATAGCAGTGTGTGCGGCCTTTTGCTATTTGGTTGCCCTACAGTGGCATGACCCTTTAAGCAGCCCCAGTGATTTAGTAACAAATTCAGCATGGGCAATCGAGCCTCACAACACTCAATTCCTTCTGAGTAACCTTACCACAAACCAAAAATACAGCAGGATGCAAAGCTTCAGACCCTCATGAACCAAACAGTGCTACCCTACGTGCATGAGCAACCTCCTCAAAATCCCCAGTGTGCAGAGCCCAGCAAAAGCAAACGCTCTGTGCGGACAAAACGCAGTGCATGAAAACAAGACAGTGAAAATTATTCTGAACAGGAAATGATTTCTTGTGCTAAGCTTCCAAAGGTCTCAAAAATGACAATATAACTTCAAATGCAAGCAATAGTAAATCATCAAAGCCACACTGATTTACCCCCATGGGCAGAACTTACCCCTGTAATAACCTAACAGATCATATTTGCTAGCCTAATGGCCAGTTCCCACACAAATTACTTCAACCTGAAAAAACAGGTTACAGCCATTATACACATCGTCTCCAAAACTCCATTAATTCATTTCTTGCTGACAATCAAGGTGTGGTTTGGGATCATGAAGCAAACACAGTTCAGTTCTGTTTCTGATTCATTCCTGAAGTGCTTAAAACATGTAAAATGCAACTGAATACCAACAAAGAGCAATTGTACTATTTAAACTAGAGACTAAAGCTATGACATGACTCTGAAAAAAACTGAACGCTTTCCCAGAAAAAGCAAAGAAGGGGTAAAGCAGCCTCTTCTGTGGAAAAGGCTGCTTTAGGGATTTGGATGGATCCATTACCTTTTTGTCGCTCAAGCCAGACACCTGGTCCACGTATTCCTCTTGGATCATGAAGGCAGCCAGGTTGGCAGTGTAGCTGGCCAGAAAGATGACAGCGAAGAAGGCCCACACCGACACCATGATCTTGCTAGTGGTACCCTTGGGATTCTGCACTGGCACAGAGTTGTTGAACACCAGCCCCCACAGCAACCAGATAGCTTTGCCAATGGTGAAAGAGGGACCTCCAGGCTCTGGAGTGATTGAGAAACATGATCCCACAGTGAGCACCTCAGAGTAAGTGGTCTGCATTGCTATTTACATACACATCTTGACTTCAGAGTTAAGAGAAGGATGTATCCCCATATATCAGATGAATGTCTGCAGCTGTGCTCCCCTATGTTCATGGCACCATATCTCAGCAAAGTGCAACCCTGAAAAATTACTTTTTAAAAGGCCCTCAGGCTTCCATATTTATTCTATCTCAATGATTTCCACTGAAACCTTATACGAGGGCTTTTTCTGTATCTGTTTAGAGTATCTAAAAGCCCAAACATTCCACTTCGGTTCAAGTGTTATCACCAGAAATACAATTTTCTCAGAAAAATTCTATCTTCGTTTCTAGCTATTCAACAGTGATGTTGTCCTTGAACTCCCAGCATACACCTGTGCAAAACATGGCCTTCATTATACTTGTACAGGTGCAAGGAAGAGCACCATCTGAAATAACAGGGCTCTACAAATACCTCTGCAAGAGGATTTCATTACCCAGTCTGTTGAAGACACACAAGCCAGAGAAGAACACAGCTCACTCTCCCTATGTTCAGTGTCTAAAGTACATAACAGTGACATGAACTCTGGTCATGCTTTTAGTGACCTCTTTAAAATCTCAATGATCTTAAAGGTCTTTTCCAACTAAAACCATTCTATAATTCTAAGAAACATGGATTGGCAGTCCTTGTCTTTTTACATGCTAGAGTGGTAGCTTTATATCCCTCTCTACCTAATGAGCCCAAAGACACACAAGTGCAAGGTCTGCACATCCTCAGTGGGAACTATAAAGTGTAAGAAAATCTTGAGAAGTTCCCTCCTAAAGCCCTCCTCTCTCCACTGAACACCCCATGTGTTTTCACAGTTACTTTGTCAGCCACGAACCAAGACAGCAACAGGAGCCCCTGATCCAAACCAGGGACCCACGATACGTCTGAGTTCTTCAACTTTGCATGCCCCAACAGCAACCCAACATCATTTAGGGGCTAGATCAGGGCATGCCCACTTGACCCTGGAGAGAAGATCTTGGTGTCCATATGGATAAAATGCAGTTGTGAGAGGCAGGAGTATATTGTCGTAGACTAGTTCAAATGCAGCCAAAGCAACATTAGCCGGAACATTCATTACCAAACAAGTCTGTGCAGCAGATTTCTACATCTTCATGTTACATCTGTCAGGGATAATATCTGCCTGATCATGCAGTACTGTTCATAATTACTCAGAAATATTGATACTTACAGCTGCAGTTAACTTAATAACTGTACAACTGCACACATGTAGTAAGAACTGCTTCCAGTTCCACATCTGTATTAATATCTCTCAAGAGACTTGCAGGTTTATAAGTATTTACTTGTGTCCACAGATCCATGTGGTTATGACCACTTGCCATAAAGGGCCTCCACAGCTCCATGTTAAGAGACTTCTTCACTTCCACATATATGTGGTTCAGCCTGCACTCTCATTAACACTTTTTTTTCACTCCTCTCTAATTTGATGGCATAAATTCCCTCAAAGCACTAGACTGAAGAGAAAATGAGTGTCTTTTCCAATAACTGTCTCTCCCTCACTATTCTGAATGGACCAATAAACCCAGAAAGGTTTGAAGGGCTGATTCAACAGAAGGTGATGATATGGAGATGACAGAAGGTTCAACTTGCTAATTGTCTTCATGCCAATAAGGCAAAAAAGGCTATATTTTAGGCTGCCTGTCCATTTTCTCTTTAACTCATCAGGCTGTGTTCTGAAGATCAGAACCACAAAAGTGGGTCACTCACTTGTTGCCATCTTTCTTGCTGCCCTTGCAAGTTAATCCATCACCCAGTCCCAGAAAAATGAGTTTCCCACTTTCTCAGTCAGCCTTAGCAGGCCAGAGAGCCAAGTGGGGGAGTGACATCTCCAGGTGACAGATGTGGAGTCTGGAGGCCATCACATTATGCCGGGAGGCCGGCAGAGCAGCTTGCTCTCTGGGGAGATGTTGCACTGAAGGGTGGATCGACAGCACTGTGTCCTCTGATAGCCTCAGAGAGTGCACTGCCAGCACCAGCTACCAGGACCCATTTTCCCTCAATGAGAAACAAGTTGGAGCTGGTGCATGCTTTACAGATGAAAGGCAACACAGCTCCGTCTCCCGAGCCAAGCAAATTATCCATTATAGAGATCTGTTCTCTTCGGAGCCTTTTTTTCCACCTCCATCTCTGCCCTCTTTAGTCTGAACACAGAGCTCAGAGTGGGTTGGATCTGTATCATGTTCAAGGCAAAGGAAACATCCTGATAAAGGAGCCAGGCTTGGAAGAGAGAGAGGATCATAGCAAGGAGGGACTCCTCTTACCTCTGCCATCAGCAAGGCACCGATTATAGCCCACAGGGCTGAAGTACTCAAAGACGAAAACAGCCACCGCAGAGATGATAAGCAGCATCACAAACATCATCACCCATACATCAGCACTGAAAGGTTCTGGAGAGGAAGAGAAAACCGTGGTGAAAAACCTGATACACCACCTCACCCTTCCCCTGTCTCCTTTGCTCTCTAGAACACCCCAGGGAGAGCATGGGACAAATTGGAGAATGGGAAGTTACAACACATCCTTCAACCCAAGTCAGATAAACTTTTTGAATTTTGAAAAGTGTAGTTTCTGTCTCTGTAAGGGCTGCATTCCTTCTTACTGTTACATTTGTGACACATAGCTTCATTTGGAACTACATGCAGCCATCGTGGCATGCATTGATAAAATAAAATGCATTGATAAAAGATTGTTCCCAGAAGTCCTCCAGCACCATCTGGAGAGAGTGGGGAAAATCAAGCAGAACTGGCAGAGCTTCAGAGAAGCATCCAACTTTCAAGATGCTATTGAGCCAAAGAGCTTCTCCAAATTTCTGAGGTTCAGCCATAATGATAGTAGGTTTTTTTCAGCTATTTCATTCCTGCAGCAGTGGGAACACTAGTTAATTCTAGAAATGTCAGCATTCATATTCTGCAAGTGTTTGACCTCTGCCAGGTTTTCTCCTTCTCAAAGCCTGAACAGATAAAAATGGGACTGAACCAGATCAAAGAAACTTAGAACTTTGCTCCAGACTGTAGCCAATATTGCAACCTCAGTTAAACTGCAATTTAAAATTTTGGAGTTGATTTTATTGTTGCTTTTACATACCCCAGCAATACTGGTGGACTTGGCTAAAGACAAAAACCTCCTGAAAAGTGAGTAGTCATGGAACTCCTACTTAAAGAAGTTTGGAAAAATTTCTTTACCCATATAAAGTTATTACTGTTTGTAAATGATCTCAGGATGCTGGCAGGGAGAAGACAGTAATTATATAACTCATATAATGTGTTTGCTGCATCATAAAGCATTTTATAAAGCCAAATAGTAGGTACTAGGAAGGCATGCATGTCTTGGGGAAATGCAATATTATTTCTACATTCTCTGACCACCCTCCGCCACTGATGGACATTAGAAATCACTGTATTGGAAGACACAGTGTCAGCACAGAACTGATGGCTCAACTCTTCTTGAAAAGCTCTGTTAGGCCTCTAACTTCTACCAGTTGCTCTGTCAAGGGAGGGTCAAGTTAAAACCTTCTTTACAAGTAAAGCCTGTCAAAGTGCAATAATTTATTGCTAATTGTTATCACTAAGTACTATGGCATACCAGCTATAAGGTTTGAATCATTTTTTTTCTAACCAACATTCCTTAAACATGCTATTAGTTGAGTCATTAGGAAATTATGTGCTGCAGAGTAGGTGACAACTGAGTGAGCCCATTCTTTGCTGGGATTATGCCTACAATTGCTGAGAAATGCCTTAGAACTCCTAGTCAGGGCCTGCTTGAGTTTGCCTGGATATTGCCTGCTGGGGATTTAGAGCTAAAACATCACAATTTATTTTTATATACCTGTCCCACAGGTACTCCCAAAAAGGGATTTCCAGGCTAAGAATCACAAGCAACCTTCACCTAATTTTTGATGAACACTGGGTGAAGTGTTAATTTTAGATTAAAATGATACCTAAAAAGGCAGAAGGTGAGACAGTTCCATTGCTACGTGACACCATGACGCTGATTCCTGTCTCAATGAAGGGCACAGAGAAATCCACCACTTCTGAACGCTCCTCATTAATGGTGAGGGATCCCACAGCCATATAGGCCCGTTTGGTGACGACCTGGAGGAAGGAAATGAAGAGATCACACACAGACCCAATGCACCTCTCAAGCACCACAGCCAAGCCCCTTCTCTTCTTCCTGCCTGTCCACACAGTCCTTTCACTCCTGTAATCCCATTCCCTATATTGTTTCTATCATCTTTCCTTTCTAATCTTTCATCAGGACACCTTCTTCTTTCAGGAAATCTATAGACATTAATCTTCCCCTCAAAGCTGGTATATGTATAAAAAATAAATCTGCAGAGGTCTTAGGATAAACACATCATCCGCTGAGAAGATGTCTTATCTCATTTTTCTGTCCTTGCTTTCTCCTCCCTCTAACACTGCAAAGTCTTATTTCATTCTTTAAGCACCTTATATACGATCTAAGTGCAATCTAGGTTGCAGCCTCTCTGGTGCATGGAAATCACCCTCTTTCTTTGACTGTGAAGGCCAAATTTGTGATGCTATAGAGAATAATAATTAATCGTCAAACAGGAAAGGCAGTCATGGTCAGAGTGTCAGAGAAGATTAATTCACCCGGTGCCCAGAAAGAATCTAGACCAATCACTTCTATAGAGTTACTTCTGTCCCTGCCCTGGAGGAGGACCCAATAATGATGGGAGACCAGACTTTACCCATGTCACCAACCCACGGATGAAGTCTACCATGCCCTCCCTTTGCTGCTGACCTCTCCAATCATTCCATTCCATGTCCCATTGATCTTTTTCCCATGCTTGCCGTTAGTCACCAAGTAGAGGTCATAGGTGAACTTGACAGACTTTGAGATTTTCTTGAGGATGTCAATGCAGAACCCCTTGCAACATTTCTTCATGTAATCTGGCTCCTCATCAGTTTTGTTCCTGAACCATCACAACAATATTGAGTTAAAAGACTGGACTTAATTCCCTTCTGTTGTCAGTATGCACTCCCCCTCCCACAATATAATGTGAAGAATTTCACTTGTGCTATCTGTGCTGAAGGGTGAAGGGACACACTATGATGATTTGCCCAAAGAGGCCAGTCATGAATGAACATAGGCCAGGCTAGGCAAATAGAGGTGACTTTTCTAAAAAGGATTATCAGGGTATGATGGTATTGGCCCAATAGACTCTCTACATTCTGCTGAGAAGGGACAGCCCAACAGGAGGAGAAAAACCCAGGGGTTCATACTCAGTCACTATGCGTTTTTGGCAAGGGACCGTGTTCCTCATGCAGGTGCCACTTAGAGGGTCCACATTCTCCACAATGACAAACGGTGCCTCTTCCAAGGTCACGATACTCAGGTGATCGTCCTCACGTTCCTCAGAGTCAGGATACAGCTCAAAGCGGGGCCACACGTAATACTTCATCTGTAACTTTTTTTCCTTCCATTTCCCCACCTGTGAGGACACAAAACACAGAAGTTGATAGGCTTCTAGTTGTCCCATCCCTCTGCATCAACCACAGCTCCCACAGGCCTGGGCAGGAGGACCACTCTGGAGTACCCAAGCTCACGGCTCATGTAAGATAAGGATATTTCTGGGGAGAAGACTCTGAGTAAGTGGGTTCAATCCAGGAGGAAGGGGAGAACAAGAAAGACGCCTGGGTTGCCTCATCTCTGTGATGGTCTCACCCTCCAGGAGAGTGAGTGGATGACCAGGAGGATACCATCACCACAGTCAAACAGACATGATGTCTTTCAAGTCTCTCAGCCAAAAAACAGGAACAGAGCTTGTTGTCTACTGAAATACTGACTTCAGCATACCAGCCACTACAGTTTTTTTTCCCTGCTAAAAAAAAGAGGAGAAATATATATAAATGCTGAAACAAATGTCACTTTGAAACAGAGAAATGTACAGACTTCATCTTTAAGGTCACTTCCAACCCAAACCATTCTATGATTCACTTGAAAAAAGTCAAAACAGAACTTCTTTATTTTTCCAAAATTTTGTCTTCATTTGTTTTCAGTGAAATTAATCAGATTCATTTTAGCCAAACTTTATTTTGTCCAGAAATAACTCCTTCTGGAAAAAAGGTTGCCCCTTCCTAGTCAAGACTGAGTTCTTCCAAGAGACAGGCAGCTGAAAAGGAAAATGTTCTGCATTTTCAGAAATGTCCTCACAGGAGAAGAACACAGGCAGAGATGCTTGCTAACAGTAGTTCTTGCTATCCTCTCCTAAGGCCTTACTAAAATACCTGCTCTTATCCTTTCACAATGACGTGGTTGCATACCTTAGCTGGAAACAAGGAATTGCACTGTGCTTCTGACACATGAAAAATAAAATCAAAAGGCATCTATGATTTACTAATCTTGCTATTTTTCCATAAGGATATATTGCTATTTTAGATCTTCTCTTTTTCCATTTCTTAAGCAAAGTGAGATCATATCTTTCAGCAGTTGGAAAAGAGGGATGGGACTCAGTTGCTTTATACCTATAGCCACAAATAAGAGTTGTTTTGAAGGCACTCCAGCCCCTGAAGAGATAATATGTGTAGCACACCCACTGCCCATGGCAAACCATTCCTTGCAAAAATTCAAGTAAAAGAAAAAAACCTGAACATCAGCTATGCTTTCAACTATCAAAGTCTCGCCTTTGTTCTCAATTTCCGCCATCACAGTTGACACTAATTAGCACCTCGGCTGGCAGCTGAAGCTGAGAGGGCATGAAACTAACTGGGCATTAGAAGGAACTTTCCCGCACGATCCTCAAAGAAAGCCTTCCAGGCCAGGGCTGAGACACGTTGATGTAATGGCTGAGACACTGTGGGTGTGTGGGAAGCTTGCACAACTGCTCTTAGCAGTGTACCTGCTTGGTGGATAAACAGAAAAGCTTCGTTCCACTGCAATTCAACACCCCTCCCACCATCCCCAAATTTCAGTCATTTATTTATTTAAATGACAGGACAGGGAGGGAAGCACTTACTAGACTCTTATTAGGTGTCAGCAGTTAGTCTGTGAAACTCAAAGCCCAGCTGGGGTTTGGCATTTCAGAGCAGCTAGAATTCACACAAAACACTTGTCATCTTCACAACAAACAAATGCTTCATCTGACCATGAAAGAAAAATCCACTCTGGGGGCTTGTGGAGGGAGAAGAAAGGCAGAAGATACCACCCAGAGACAGCAATCTCCCCATCCATCCCTGCAGCATGAACACAGTGCCCCAGTGAGTGCAAGGTCATGGGTTTTGTTAGGGAGGGGTGAAGTGACCAGGCAGCTGGTCTTACCTTCCCAAGGGTCTTGAGGACCAGCAGTTAGCAAAAATTGCCAAGGAGAGCTTGCCGCTAATGCTCCTTCCACCTATGGAGTCACGCTGCTTGGACCAGCAAGCGGGGTACACAGCTATTTTTTGTCTTTCTTCTCTCTCTTTTTTCTTTCCTGTTACTTGAGTGAACAGGAAGGAGTTATTTTAAATTTTAAGTACACTTTGAGCAGCAGGTGAAAGCTGGCAGGCTGGGAACCCTGGGATCTGGTGACTTCTTTTGTCCACAAAAGACAGGTAGTGTTGTCTAGGGCAGCAGACGGTCTGTACTCATGCTACTGTCTAAGCCTGGATGTGGCGAATGCATTTCTAAGAGAATAAAGAGCATATACTCACATGCTCACCCAGGGTCTGCTCAGCCCTGAACTTCCCACTCACTGACCAAGCAGGTCAATTTATCATCATCTGAGCCAGTGTTTCTGTAGTGCAGCTTTAACCCTCAACTAACTGAGCTCAAATCCCCAAAACCAGCTCATTGAAGCCACCAGACAAGCAGAATAACTGCACACATGAGCATCAGTAGGGACCAGTGATTAAGATGCTGCACAGAGCAGCCCAGACTTCAGCTCAGTAACATTAACTTATCATGGAAATAAGTGGTTGATGAAAGAGACATCTTGCAGCATCTCAGCAGCACTTAGATATCACAGTAATAGGTATGATATAAACCCCTAAGTGATACATTAGATCAGATAGGCAAACCCAACACATAATTACCCAGAAGTTCTCTAGGACAGAAAGGGGAGTTCATAAGGCTGTGTGCCAGGCACGTTTCACAGTGTTGTGCTACATGAACAACATTATGAAATTAGGATAACTATGACAGTCTTGCCACAGCCTTCTGTGTGCTGAAGCACCTAACCTGAAAATACAGTAGTACACATCCTTTCCTTGTTGTCTCATCCTAGATTGTCCAAAATGGAGGGAAAACATGATCTAAGTGAATGTTCTGACCTAAATTTTCAAGTTAATTATAGGGTGTCTCAAGAATACGTCCAAATATTACATTTCATTGCTAACCTGAACAATCAGGCATGTCATATACCTGCAGGCAGGTACAGATATGAATAAGCAAAGTCAAAAAGCTTCGTGAATTAAGAGGGGTCAGACTTCTTTATATGCTCATGCCTGCAAGGGTCAAATGTGTACGCATGTAGTTAAAGAAGAGAGGGCCTAAGCAACATGTGGGCAAGGACACTAAGGATCAGCAGGGACAATAAGAAACACTACATGTGCAGAGGATGGAGACAATGCAGGAGAAAGAAAATACAAATATGCATCCTATATTATCATAGATTATCTGCCATGAGAGAGAAGGAGCAATTCACTGTGGGGACAGAGGTTAGCCACAACAGAATTAAATATTTGTCACAGATTTGTCCAGGTAATGATGCCTACTTTTAAAGAATATAACCTGCCAAGCTGTGCAGAGCAGAGCAAGGCACTTCTGAAGTCTCAGGGTATTTGGTATTAACAGCTTGTGAACTGTTATTACTTAGGTTTTGCTGAGTGCTTGCCTCAGCAAAAAGAGGAAAAAATAAACTGTTCTAGGCATCCTACATATTTGTCACCCTGCAGTTTCAAGACCCACTGGGAGTTCTCCAATCAGAGTCTAGTCATCCAAACTCCCACCAGAAGCCTTGGAGGGTCACAGAATCAGCAAAAGTAAGGATGCCAGATATCTTTAAAACACCCTTTCTAACCATATTCTCCAACCCTTAGGTATGTTTCTGTATACCAGAGCAGGGCTCCTAAAAGCCAGAACTTCCTCTTTCCCCTTTCCCTTTAACTTCTGTACCACATCTGATCTTATCAAGAAAGGAAAACCACTTTGGTTTGGGGATGAATTTGAAGGTGTTGAGGGAGGGGAGGAGGTAACTTTCACCTTAAATATAAGATCCTACTTTGGATAACAAGCTGTTGGAAGTAGAAGTCCAATACATTTGCAAAGAAAGAAAGAGAGAGTTATTGTAGAACAAAAAGTCAGTCATATATGCTAATAGTTTGCCTAAGTATGTAAGCTATCCCATGCAGTCAAAAGGTAAGATTGCCTATGTGAGGAGAAAATAAGTGAGAGCCTTCCAAAAGCCTTCCAGCAGGCTGGCAAATTGCCTTAATTGCGGTATAATGCAGCCAAAATAAAAGTGTTCTGCAGTATGTTAATGCACATCTTTAATGAAAGGTGTATCATATTAGTTCCCCGAAATTAATTCTTTACAGAGGTTTTTCTCTCCTCCCAAGGGAAGCTAAGGCTTGTAACAGCCATTTGTGGCAGATGTTTGTCTAACCTGTCCTTACACTGATAAACTGCCCATGGTCTCCGTGGGCAGTCTATTCCAGTGCTTAACTATCTTTCCCATTAAAAAGGATTTTTTTTCCTGATGCCTAACCTAAATCTTTTTGCTGCAATTTATACCAGGAGGGTATATTTCCTTATTCTCTTACATGTGCTCTTTTCAGTGTTATCAGGTCAGTAAGATATTTATAACAGAGAGGAGTTGGTAGTCTCTTGCAGTGGATATTTTATATGCTACACTGGCAAAAGCAACAACCTATTAAAATGACCAGCATCCAGTCTCACCATTTACAAAATCCTTACCCAAATGGGTAGTACAGACCACAGGCTGCTCCCCTGAACTTCCAGAATTGTCTGTTCCAGCCAGGGCAGAAGCCAGTTTCTGAACTCCAGCTAGTATGCCAAGGTAGGACTTCAAAACACAAGAGCATCTGGAGAAACCTCTAACTAATGTCAACAGATGGAAAAACAAAACCTCCTATAAATTTGACTTTCAAGGACTAGGCAGTAGAATACAATTCTAGATAGAAGCAGAAATGTTCAGATACATTTCTTAGGCAAGATGCTCAGAGGCATTGTATTTGTATTTGAGGTGAAGGTTCAGAGGAAAGTCTGAACTTTGGGTGCTTGTTTTTCAACAGGTTGAAAAAGAACTATGTCTGGGTAAAATCTTTTTATAGTCTTTACTTCATTCAGGCTCCCATTTACACCATGCCTTGCACTCTTTCTTTTCATTTAAAATCTTCTCTTACTTCCTGCCACTCCTGGTATAGAAGAAATACAAAAGGGATTTGGTTTCCTTCACAGAATAAAAGAAAGACCATTCCAAACTCACTTAGGACTTGAAGTGCTTTTTGCATTTCCCCAAAAGTTCAATATTTCCTCCCTTATTATGTTTTGGTTTTGGGTTGTTTGGTTGGTGGTTTTTTTCCAGGAGATAAGGGTCTTGCTCATTCTAGTGTAGAAGTAGTAAGGCAAGGACACAGAGCATGGATTAGAAGGCAGAAGTTCCCTATTTCACCAAGGACCTCTGGAATCTGATCTGCACCCTTGTGCCTCCACTCCACACTGTGTCAAGTGGAGGTAATGGTATGTTTTCATCTTTGGGATGCACTGGGTAGATAAATCCAGAAAAGAGAAAATGAGGCTCAGAAATAGTTTGGAAATGAGGAGCCGCACACACATGTGTCTAGAGCTAGATGAGTGAACATACACAGCATGCGTCTGTGAATGGTGTAAATGAGAAAAGTTCCTGTCTTTTATCTTTGCTAGCAGATAGTTAACTGGCAAAAGCTTATGTAACTTTTACACCTGATTTTAATACATGAAAAAGGAAAGATCAAATATAGAAAAGATAAAGGTAGGATGTTGGGCAGCAGGCAGAAAATAGCAGTGTCATTGGTACTATATCTGATGGAAAAGCATACCTAACCCCTCTGGGAAGCAGGCAGAGTCCAGAGAGAAAGAAGAGTCTTTTCAGTACAATTCATACAGATCCTGAATGAGGACATGGGAAAAGCAGAACAACTGGGCAGGACCTGAAAAGGGCTACTGTAGGAATAATAGAAACACTATAGAAATAGCATTTATAACTGGGACACTGCCAATGGAAGTATGCACTGCTCAGGGTACATAGAAGTAAAGGTAAACCTGGGGGATGCTGTTGCAACCTTAATGCTGCAGTAGGCTCTGAAGAAATAAATCATGCATAAATAAAGATAAATCATTTGGGATTGAGATAGTCTTTGAAAAGCTGGTACAAGATATTCCTCCAGGACTGAACTACAGAAATCTACTGTAGCTCCACAGGCTTGGCTTTCATTCCAGATAGAGATGTCATTACTGTTATTAAAGAGAAATTATATCAGGGACTAAGTCATCATGGGAGACTTTAACTTCATAGAGACAGAGAACAAATGCAAATTTTAACAGCAGCACCCTGATGTCTTTTTTTCTGGATCTGTTAGTTGACACATTTCTTCACCCCAGAATTACTCAACAGGCAATAGGTCATGCTGTTTTACACCTGGTTTGGGGAAAGCAGGGAGGAACCTTACAGAAAAGCTAGTTATCAGAAATAACCTTGGATTGAGCGATTAGGGGAACAGAGAGCCCGCCTTAAAGGAGGAGATTAAAAAGCTTGTTTAACCTAGATAAATGAAAGCCAAGAGGGGATATGGCTGCTCTGTATAAATAAAGGGAGAACAGATACACAAGGGAGGAAGAAAGAGGATCTTTAAGCAGAAAAACAATGCTGGTGCAAGAACAACTGGTTGTGAGGAAATTTTCCTTGAAAATAAGATGGATTTTAACCATCAGAGGAGGTAAGTTCTAGAGCAGCTGCCTGAAACAACCTGTGAAAACAACTAAAATGGAGTCAAGAAGCAGCACAACTGGTTTGTATAGGGCTATATGATGTTGCTACCTAGAGCAGCAGAGATGGGACCAAATGAGCCTTTCCAGTCCAGTGGCAAGTAAGCAAAAGCAAGAGGAGGAATTCCTCTGTAAAAAACCTTTTCTCCTTGACTTTTCAGTCTGCAGATGTCAAAACTCAGTCTTAATCATTATATCTCTTCCTCCCAAATAACCTACATGAACAGAAACATTGAAATTATTGATATCTCCATCTCATAGATTTATACTTCCCTCAGACAGCAGCAAAACCTTCCTGAGTACCCAGAGAAGAGAACATTCCTCTTATCCTTCACCCAAGCTGGTTAAGTCAAGACTCTCACACTTACAGTGCTGGCATCACAGCCATTACCAAATGTATCATTCCTGTGATGCTACAGGTCTGTATCCTCACATAGGCTGGTCTACAGCAGGTGGAGAAGAGATGCCACGGAGAGCAAAAATCTCCTGTTTACAGACACTTAAGGTGATTAATTAGCCACATCAGCCCAAGCATACAAGAAATGGTTGCAAATGCTCCACATGCAAAATTAATTAAGACAGAAACAACACTCCTTCCTGAACCTCAAGTTCACCCTCCAGAACCACCTGGGGAAGGCTGCTTTCTTCACTGCACCTGCAGAATCAGGAATTGCTTCTAATAGCCTTTCAATTAAACATGTAGGCTGCAGGAGATGGTAGAATTTTCTTCCCTCTGTATTTATACAGCACCTAACATATGCCAGAGAGCGGCTTGGCTTAGAATACAGACAGGGTGAAGTACTTGCTCTTGCTTTACAACTCATTCTGGGAATAAAAGCTCTTTGCAGAAACACAGTCCCTCAGCTCATTGATGTCTGGCATTTACACAGCTCTTGCCATTTTTGCTGAAACATTTCTTTCCTGGTGCATTTATGTGCTTTTTGTAGTTGCTGAGGTCCTGTCCCCTGCCATGATTAGCCTGAGAAGGTTAATGAGATATACTTTGAGCGCTTCTGACTTCTGCAAAATCACTGAACCATGGAGCTCCAGCGGTGTCACAGAAAGGTCAGAGCTGTGAGAATGCCAAAGTGTTTGGCTTGGTAAATCACTCCTCCAAACCAGAAGGTACCAAGAGATCACTACAGGCATAAAACTAGCCAGGATCACCTGAAAGCTCCCTCTGGGAGATGTTGTTGTTTTTGGTGTTAGTGTTAAGTTGGTAGGCCAGAAAGCAGTTCATCCAGGCAAGGCTGGCTCATGCAGCAGCAGCATGGTTCCCACATATTTGTTCAAGGTCCTCAGTGCCACCTGAGTAGCATAACCATGATTTATGGAAATGAAGACTGCAATCAGTTCAGGAATAATTAGGAGACATGAGGGGAGAGGTTAGAGGGAGCTGTTCGTGGTAGTGTGGGCTGTGATCTGAGAAGGCCGGAGGATCTAACTCAGCAAAGCCATAGCTTCTAGGGGGGCAAATCAGGTGTTAGGATTTTGGAAGAAGAATTAGGAAAAAAAAAGTATTTTAACAAGCACTGCAGACCAACTGTACCATCCAACATAACTCATCTCCAGCTAACAGGCAGTGACAGCACCTGACTCAGGGTCTTGCTTCAATAATGTTGCATCCTTAGAGCCATCATGCCCTTCTGAAATGACTCTGTGTGAGGAGAGGGGAGCTTAATACAATGTCCTAAACTCTAGCAACATCAGTATATGCTGATTCTAGTCTGGGAAATAAAATCTAAAGCCAGGGAGCTTATACTGCCTCTATCCTTGCTCATCTAAGGTGAAAGAAGGTTTCCCTTTGAGCATCTCTATTGCTTTCCTCTGCAGAACCATGGGGCAGGGGAAAATGTAGCAGGGATACTGGTAAGATTGCATGTTTTGTGTCACAGGGGGTTCGGAAGTGACAAAGGTTTAAAGAAAAATGTATTTTTATGTGCATGTATAGGCATCTAAATGCTTTCTGAAAGCATTTTGTGGTCTCTAGGAGTGCACCCGCATTGTGCAGGTGTGTGTCTGCACCCAGTACGTGTCCATGCATGTAATGCTCTATCTAATTATTTTTCCCTTTGGCTTTCCCTGTTGAATGCTGGGCTTGGGTTTGCATTCTGCTGAGCTTTCATTTCTTTCAGACTTTTTTTTCCTCAAAACATGTTACGCAGAGGGAGGAATGGGCTTTTCAATTGACACTGCAGCCTGGGAGATGGTTTAGAGCTTTAGCTGGTAAGTGTGTCCTGTACAGCAGCGTACAAAACCCCAGCGTGTGCTCCCCTGGGCAGTGACACTCTTTGTACAGAGCAAATATCTCTCCCAGCATCTCTTGGGACCTGAGGATAAAGGAACATTTAAAAACACAGATCCAGAGGAAGGCCAAAATATTTCCTTGTGCTGAGAAAAAGCTAAATGTTGAAGCAGGCCCCAGCAGCATTATGAGAGGAGGCAACATGAAGAGAGAGGGGGTGGGTTGCCTAAACCTCACTGTTTTCTGAGCTGTGCAAGCAAGACCAAAGGCACTGGTTTGAAAAGCATCTCCAAGAATATCAAAGAGATCCTTTAACTTTCACTGGAGGTTGTTGCAGCGGATGAAACACCTCCCCATTCTGAATATACCAGCCAGAGCCTCTGCCCTCCACACAGCAGCCCTGCATTGCTCCCATGCAGAGATGCACAATTGCTGAGAGAGGCGCAGGCACGCATGCCCCAATGCTGAGAGACACAGTGTGCTCAGCTCTTCTCTTGCTGGTGGAAAGGAGAGGAACACACCTCCTCCGGAGGAGGTACTGCACATGTTGGAAGCAAAATTTCAGGGAAGGCTGTTACCGAGCTACATGCCTCCATTCCTTTCCTCTCTCACCACTGAGAGCTCTGGAAAGGTGATTGTAAATGCTATCCCTGGCTGCTGCACACCCTTTGTCCAGATCCTGGCCCTGGATTCACACTGGCATGGCCACAGCCAACCCCACTGCCTCCACACCTTCAGAGTGCATGTCTGCATGGCCCCTGCAACTAGGCCATGGAGCAGGGCCTCGTGCACTGCACTGGGGCCATCCCAAGCAGGAGCCAACCAAGCCACTGCTCCAAGTTGTTACCAGATCTCCAAACTGACTAGAAACTCCAGCTCTACTCTGCACCCAGGTTCTCTGTCAGGTCTCTTTACTTGGCTTTGCAAAGGGGCCAGATGGTAAGCAAAGCTGTGGATAAGGGCAACCAGGGACACCCTTGCTGCTTTCTCTCTTCCCCATGTTTGGTGAAGGAGACTGCCCTCTGGCATCTTTGCACCTTTTCTTATCCACATCCCCTTTGCCTGTCTCTATGGAGAAGGCATGGAGATAGCTTCATGCCTTGCTTCAGTTTTTCCCACTCCTCCTTTCTTTTATTCACTCAGGTG